TTGCTGCTGCTGCTGCTGCTACTACTACTACTGCTGCTGCTGCTACTACTACTACTACTACTACTACTACTACTACTACTACTACTACTACTACTAATACTAATACTACTACTACTACTGCTGCTGCTGCTGCTGTTGCTTCTGCCGCTGCAACTGATTCTGCTGTTGTTGTTGTTGCTTCCGCGCTACCTGCATATTTAGAACAGAACCGTAGAATGATCTCATGAACCCAAGAGAAATTGCGCGCTAAATCTTTCGGCAACCCCATACCTTAATCATGGTAAATTCGATTTCGAAGATCGCCAGGAGCGACGATGGGGGAGGCATAAGCCTCTATCGGTATATCCCCCGGTGGCCGCGTACGCAATATCTCATTCCTTACAAACCCCGAGCGCTGGCTCATACCGACTAATCCCAGCCGACTGGTTATTAGAGGCAGGCGGCCCTGTAACACCACCAATCTTAATCGGTATTCGCCGCCGGCGGCTCCTATCTGCTCGCCGGTCTCCCGCCCCGCTGTACGCACGGCGTGCCACCAGTGGGCGCTCCTGACTTCGCCGTCGTCACGATGCCGTTCAAAACGGAAGATTTACTCGTCGTGGCAAGTTTGCGTTAATTTGTCTTGTTTCTTAAATTTTTCCGTGTGGCCTGGTAATATACAGCGTGGTAAATAACAATGAGAAAGGATAAACGCTGTAAAAATGAAAAGTCAAAATAAGCGTAAACCCAGCGTATTAAAAACTAATATGCACTTATAATGAAATCTGCTCATTTTAGCGTAGAAATGCGGCTACTTGCTTGTTTCGGAGAGACGCCATAAACACGATCGACATCGTTTACGGCCACGGTAAACACAGTCGCCGCGCAAGCGCAGGCACTCACCTTTTAACATAAACGAACGATATCAAGACGAGACACGCATGATACAATTCGTACTTAAATCTGTTATCGGATTTGCAACACCGCTACCTGGCGTTAGGTGCACCCTCCTGCTGCAACACTAATCGATTACAATAAAAGTTGCTCTGATATCAGTCATTATTTTTCATTATGAACGTTTTGTTGACGATGAAGTTACGAGAAAAATTAATAAAAGTTACGAACCTTAGCTAATAACTAAATTATATTAAATAAAAATGAAGAAAGCGTGGTTTTTATTATCTTATTCTGCTGTATGACTGTTTTGATTGATTGTCATCAAAATTTGGACAGGAATACATGGAGCGTACAGGTACAGGTACATCCCCGTAAATGCTAATAAAGTGCTATATATATATATATATATATATCGTGGTCCAAATTTTGATGATTGAATATATACGAATAAAATGATAAAAACCAGACTTTACCCTTTTTCTATTAAGTTGAAACTGATTTTTAGTTAAGGTTCTTTAACTTTTTCTCGTTGCCAGCAAAATGTTTATTAGAGTTCTCGCAGAAGAACGCAGGCAACACAAGTCGGCGCCACCATATAATCGGTAACATGAAAAACCAGCGAAGTCTTGTGTCTTGATATTGTTAGTCTACAGCGGTCCTAACCACTGGTCTCTATAGGTATTGTACACCAGTAGAGGGCGCCCATGTGCAGCAGGCCTGAACAAGCATAGAGTTTCATCGCATACACAATATACACTTTAGTCATGATAAATGACCACAGATTCAGACTCAGCTCGAAGCTGTTTCCAGCTAAAGTAGTCGGATTCCGTTTCAAACACGTGTAGCGATTTTGGGTCACGTACTCGATGGTGTAGTGGACACCGATTGTAGCGTTAGCCGGGCTATCTGCGACTATGGGAATGGCGGGCACCTACCTGGTACGTCCGGATGCGCTATGACGTTAGTGAGTCCGCGACATCTCTAGCTGGTGGTCCGCGACACCCGGAACTACGCTAGCCGGCAACCTGTTTCACTACTGACTCCGTACCTCCCCAGCGTTCGTTCCAAGGTCCGGTGCAGCCCCAGGGGGGGGGCACTTCTATTGTTAAATGTACTGTGGACGTGCCGCTGGACAGGGTATATTTTTATCATTATTGGCACAGGGTTATCTAGATACCCAGTCAGCAAGCTGATATTGGCCCAATATCACCAGGCTAATATTGGACCAATATAAGCAGATATTGGTCCAATATCGGCCCAATATTGGCAAAACAATACTGGGCCAATATCACCAGGGGCCGGTTTCACGAAGCGTAATTAAGTCCTTAATCATGAATGAATCACTAATCATGATAAACCTTCCGTAATTAAATTAAAGTGACTGTTTCACGAAGCGTAATTAACTTTAATAATGAATAAGTTAATCACAATATTTAATTCTACTCAGGAGCATGATTAAATCGACTAATCATAATTAGTTGCTAGTACTACTAGTAGTATGTAGGTAGTACTAGTACAATAAGTAGGCTGCAGATTTCACAATTAGAAATTTTACTTCCATTTTATCCCAAGGAAATTATCTAAGATTAGCTGTTCTAATTTAGTAATTATAATTGCAAATTAATTTCTTTTCAGGTACCGTTTTGCAGGTACTTTTTGCATTTTCCGCCATTTTGAATACAGTGTAATAAATGTTTGAGTCGGCTAATTATGTGATTAGTTAAATATTTAATTAAATCACTTCGTGAAACAGATTTTTAAGTATGATTAACTAATCATAATTACGGGAGGTTAACCATGATTAGTGATTTAATTATAATTAAAGTTAATCACGCTTCGCGAAACCGGCCCAGGCCGATATTGGACCAGTCAATCAATACCTATCCGTCAGGGCCGGCGGCGTTGCATTGTGGGTAATATGAAAAATCGCGGAACCCTCTATAGGCAAGCCAATATAGGCAAGCCAACATAGGTCCAATATAAACAACTTAGCGGCACGCCAATCTCGGTAAGCTATCCATGACTGTACAGTGTGGAACAATAAATTTTGACAGGACATAACCGAAGTGTGCAATATTGCAACACGGTAGGGCCCTATATCTTTTAGTGCAGTATATTGGGACAGGGTGTATTTTAGGGCACAAAGCGGTTTGCGACAGGGTCAGGTTTTCAAGGTCCTCGAGACACCCCCCTATACCCAGTTCCGAGGCGAGTGCCCCACCCCCACCCGGGGGTGCGGCGACAGCGAGAAGACAACAACGCCCTTCAGTGGATAACACACAGACAACATATCGCAACGCGACGATATCGGTGCCATGGCCCGTTTCCCGGGGTTTGAAATAATTTATAATAAATGCAGCAAGTAAGAGTAACGGTGCAAGTAAAATCAATGCACGATACGACGAGCGGCAAGTCACCCGACAGCGACGATACTCTGCGAGTATACATTTGTAATTGTTTTCTACAAACATGAGGTATTTCACAACATGGGAACTGACACACGTACATACAGAACATTCACAAAAACATATACTGTACTCACCAATAAATCATACCACCGGGAGTATATAGGCTGTGACCGGCGCCACCGCCACACACATCAAAACGACCGACCGGTCACCATGGCTACGCCACTTGACGGAATGGCACAATTACACGACAACAATCAATCCCGTTTTAATGCGTTCTCGACGTCATTAGGGCATCTACCTTGTGCGCAGTGCGCACAGTGAAAATTAATGCACTGTAGTGCCGACCATTACCACAAAACATTTAGAAATAAATCTCTTTTCAGGGACGATTGAAATTGTAGACAAATGATTTAGAGCCTTTTCCGAATGCGGCTACCGAATTTCAAATGTGGAATAATTTCGGGAGCTAAGAGCCCCAAAAACACAGAAATTAATGGTCTCGCCGTATGGTTAGGGTTAGTGTTAGCACTATATTTAGGGTGAATTGCAACCAACAGAGTTAAGATATTTTGATACTGTTAGTGTTAGGGGTGCCACAGCAGAGTGTAACGACAGTAAATAAAGGGACAGTAGCCTCTAGGATTTGACTGCATACAACTGTACTTATTGTATAACAAATCGTCTATACCCACACGTATTTGTTACCAGATACCTAATTTAATTGTTATAATTAATTACACATCAACGCTACGAAATTTGAACGGCGCCATGACACCCGCGACCGTGCTGCCACCCCCAAAAAGTTGCGTATTTGACAATATATTTTGCACGTTACAGACCGAGGGCTAATCACAAAAGTGCAATTATATTTATACCTAAATTGCTATTTAACTGAACGAAATTAATTTTAGGGCAAATTTATCCATATTATAACTGAAACTATATGTCGTTTATAAGATATTACAATCCTTTTGCTTTCAAATGAATAAATAAGAAACACCCTCGGTCTGTAGCCCTTGGCTGGAAAGTGGTTTTGCGCAACTTATCATATCGTGCGCTTTGAGTGGCGCCACCGTTGTTGTAATCAAACAAAATAAATATTTAAAAAAAATAATATTTCTAATAGTGATTGAACCATGAAACTTTTTATGTAGCGTAATTATAACCTAAATTAGCTGAAAATAACCCTAGAACCTAGAGTAAACTCTCCCTTTAATGTTTCTCTACTCTGTTTCACCTATTATTGCCGACAATTTCCTGTAAATGCCGTCCAAATGCTCATCTGCAACACACGCTGGCTGCCGCACGCTAGCTACTGCACACTGATGCACGAAGGGTCGGTGTCGTATAATAGCGTAAAATATGTACCCGAGGTAACTATTTGATATGGTTAGGGTGTTAGGGTTATGGTTAGGGAGTAGGCGTAGGCGACATACTCGCCGACACCTTGGGTACTACATATATACAACAACGACCCCTTCAGCCACACTGACACATAAATATATATACATCTATATAAATATATATATTGTCAATTATACAATTATATAATATATTATTGATATACAATTATACAAATATACAAATATATAGATATAAATAATTTAAATAAATATTTATATATATATATTATATATACATATAAACAAGAGCTAATAATACCGGTAATAATACCGGTAATAATAAGGTATTATTAGCTCTTGATATAAACATATAGAATATATATTTATGTGTCAGTGTGCAGCAGCAGCCAGCGTTTGTTGCAGATGAGCATTTGGACGACATTTACAGGAAATTGTCGGCAATAATAGGTGAAAGAGAGTAGGGCCTATACTATAGAATCATTAAGACTTTGGTAGTAAATAGATTTCGTATTTATTTAGCATTATATTTGATTGAAATGCTCCAATTGCCTGTGGGTAGAGGCTAGAGCTCAGCTCAAAATGTAACTTGTAGGCCTATGTATTTATTTGAATTACTTCAAATGTATTCTGTAGGTGCGGGCCTATGTATTTATTTGAATTACTTCAAATGTATTCTGTAGGTGCGGGCGGAGCTACATCACAGATCAGTAGTCACGTGACCACCAGCAGAACGCCGGTGAAAACAACACGATCGTGTCAATAGCGCCCATAGGATTACTGCATAGCGATACGAATTATCCGTCACTTGGTTTGGAAGTTTTAATAAGTTTTTTTCATTATATTTCTTCTAATATGCCTTTACGAGTAT